AGTTCTCTCAGGTAGATATTTTTCTGTAATTCGGTTTTACAGTATATGGCTAGCGGGACTGGCTCGGTGAGAGAAGACGTATGTTGGTGTCATCTGCAAAAGTGTGGGGTTTGAGTAATTGCGAAGCATTTGGTCTACCAGCTACTGGGTTAGTCTTCTAGGCTTTAGGAAGCTCAGGTTTTCATTTATGTAAGAGAAAGAGAAGAGGGCCAAGGACACCTTCCCTGTGGGACACCAACTGTAATTGGTTGTGCGGAGAGCTTTGCCCATTTGGCGTACACATAATGGCTCTGTTGCTGAGCGTAAGACTTGAAGTAGTTGAGGAGTGCCTCTAATACCATAGTGTGACCATTTTACGTCTGAGCAAGTCATGGCAAATGAAGATCCCCATTGGGACTTCTTTTTTCTCTATGCAGAGTATATATGTTCAAGCATAGTAAAATACAGCATCATTCGTAATTTTCCTTGGGCCTGAATCCAAATTGCAGGGGTTCGAAGAGCAAATGTTATGGAGAATGAGGTTAGGAGTAGATGCGTTATGAATTAATTTCTTCGCGAAGATTTTTGAGAAAGGGTGTAAATTGGAATATTGGCCTAAATCTTATTCAACTCTGGTCCTCCTCCTTTATGGCTCGGGGTAGACCCTTGCTATTTTGAGACGTAGGGAAGGCTGTAGGGATTCATGTGGATTTGTTTAAAGAGTGGTTGCTAATGATTGTGATAGTACATTGACGCTTTTTTGTAAATATAAAGGTGGTAAGGTATTTAAATCTCCTGCCTAGTTTTTCAGTGCGTTTGATATAATAAGGGAGACTTCATATGCGTTAGAGTCGACTAGAACAGTGTGGTTCCGGGTATTTGCCAGTGAGTATGTCATTTTTGTGGGTATCTGAGCTTCTGGGATCATTATTGTCAAGGTTTGACCTATAGTGGAGAAGAAATCATTGAGTCTGTTGCTGTTTCGAGGTGTGGAGTTGGGGTTCATCTGATTTGCTACAATTTATTTCGCTATGTCGTGATATCTTTTTTTGTTCCCAGAATTTCTGTAGGGCCTTCCAGGTTCTTTTCTAATCACCACTACGTAAGTTGGATAATCTGTTTCTCACTCTAATACAATTTACTTTTTGCCGCTTCTATCAGGCTGGTATAGGATTCGACGAGGTAACGTGTTGTTGGTCTCTGGTTATGTGACCCATTCTGTACTGTTTTTCATATCGGTTGGTTTTGTATTTATGATTTGAGAATGCCTGGGTGTTAGCCTGGACCGTTCAGTCTCTTATCTGACTCCAGTACTGTTTAGTTTTTTAGGGCAGTGCTTGTTATCAAAGGTATTGGCTCCTTTTTAGAAAATTTAATTAAAACATTCGGTCAATATCTGTATAGATTTCTAAGCTCATGTGCCAGTCAATGATTGTTTACAGCTGCGTAGTGAAGTTATTAATGTCTGCCCTCATTGTGAAGTCTGAAGTGTGAATTAGTAGTGTCTTGGCTGGTATTTTTTACCAGATTGTTAACAGGAAAGTAGGGTAGTGGTCTGTGTATTATCGTAATTTATTGTTTTTTTTTTATTTTTTTTTTTTTTTTTTTTTTTTTTTTTATTTACTCACCAAAGACTATATAATCCAAAGAAAAACACACGTAGTACATTATACATAAAAGGCTATAATACAAAGTCATACCCATAAAATCGGTTCCTTACCCCCTCATTTTAACAACGAATACAAGAACGTATAAGTGATTAATAAAAAAGAACTAAACGGATTCTTATCAAAATTCCTCTACCACACATTCCAGAACTTAAATAACACGTTTACCCTTAAGGTGAATTAACCACCATTATACAAACCCCATTTTAACAAATAAAAACATGCATACAAAAAATATTTTCGCAATAGCACAGTTTTACGACAAAAACAAAAAAAAAAAAAAAACCAACCTAACAATCAAAATACATAAGAACACAGACTAGTACATTATGTTCAACTACACTGTGACACACTTGTATAATTGGCAGAATATCACATCACAATATTCCATTTCAAATAATACAAAACACACGACTTACAAAATATGAGAGGAATTGACAAGGGGAAAAAAAGACAGGAGTTCCAGAGTTTGGGAAACAGTAACAAGGGGACATTGGAAGCTGAAGAACAGATGAATAAAAGGGGATGTTAGGAAGTATTTCTTCAGCCACAGAGTAGTCAGGAAGTTGAATAGTTTGGGAAGCGATGTAGTGGAGGCAGGATCCATACATAGCTTTAAGCAGAGGTATGATAAAGCTCATGGTTCAGGGAGAGTGACCTAGTAGCGACCAGTGAAGAGGCGGGGCCAGGAGCTTGGACTCGACCCCTGCAACCTTAACTAGGTGAGTCAACTAGGTGGGCACACACACACACACACACACACACACACACACACACACACACACACACAACTATCAGCCTCTTCCCAACCTACCTATCAGTATTAACCACCCTGGCTTGCTGGGTCTCCTCAGATCAACAACGCAGGGATTATGGGACCTCCCAGACGAGAACTGACGGAGGACGGTCTCGAGCTCACCATGGCTACTAACCACTACGGTCACTTCCTCCTTACCAACCTCCTCCTGGGTACGTCTAACCTCTGCCTCTCGTCGTTCATTACCTTGTTTATATCTACTTGCCTCTCAAGCTATACACACTGAGAGATGTGATGAATGGTTGAAAACCGACAAATTGAAGAACCGAGACACGTAACATATGGGAATCTTTATTGAAGAAACCTTTCGAAATACAGTGGCTTCATTAGTCCAATACAAAGGAGGAAGGTATAAGGAGAGGAGTAGTTTGAGGTAATCAGTCCCTCAGCCTGGAATCGATATAATCAGTCCATCACTCTTGTAGACTGATGGACTCCAGGCTGAGGGACTGATTACCTCAACTCCTCTCCTTATACCTTCCTGCTTTGTATACGACTGATAACGCCACTGTGTGGCGAAACGTTTCTTCAATAAAGATTCCCATATGTTGCCTAAGTGTCTCAGTTGCACAATGAGAGATGTATAGTTCGCATCATACATATATACACTGAGAGATACCTCTCACTGTACATAACTTTTCCTCGGTCGCTAGTCTTACAAATATAACTTTCATGACTGATTTTCCCTCATTTTTAGATAGCCAGGAAATAATAGTCTCTTACAGTACTTCAAAAGTTGTATTTTTCTTTTAATCAGATAGTCTTGAAGATTTAAATTTTGAATTAATTTTTCCTTATATAGGATAACCAGATGACAGAATAAAGAACAAAAAAAAAAAAAGGCACAATACCGTGACTGGAACAACATACAAATAACCCGCACACAGGAGAGGAGCTTATGATCTTAAAATTTGATGTTACCTTAAACGTGTAGTGTGGCTTGGAGATTTATTCGTTTACCAGTCGTAGTATGTATCACCTGCACTACGTAGAATATAATATACAACACAATCATTCTCACTCTGAGTTAGTTTTTGGCTTTGATTTGTTAAATATACATTAGCATGAAGATTTTCCTCGGCATAGCTTTCTAGGGTTGAAAAGCTTTCACAAGCCTCACATATATATGTGTGTGTCGTGCCGAATATGTAAAACTGGTCAATTAGCAAGAGCTCGTTCAAAAGTAAGTCCTTTCTAAAATTTTCTCTTATACTTTTAAAAATATATTTTTTCATTAATGTTAATGTAAAAATTTTTAATTTTGCTCCAGAAGAATCTTAGAAAACTTGCCTAACCTTATTATAACAAGAACAATTTATTTTAGCCTAACCCAACTAAATATATTTTAGATTTGTTTACAGTAATTTAATACTAAACAAACACAGTGAAATATATTTTTTTCGTTAGGTTCAGAATGATTTTGGAGAAATTATTGCATACACAAATTTTCGCTTGTCCTATATGGCAAGATGAGCGTTGCTATTTAAGCCAAGATCGCAAGTTCTGCCTATTCGACACGACATTATTTATATATATATATATATATATATATATATATATATATATATATATATTATATATATATATATATATATATATATATATATTATATTTTACTGTATTTAACAGTTATAAATATTAATAATACTACTAATAATACTATACCTTATATAGCTACAACCATCAGCATTATACCACATTGTCTCCGTCAGGTCTCCTGAAGAAGAGCGCTCCCGGCCGCATTATCAACCTGACTTCTGACAGCCACGATTACGTAAATAAACTCAACCCAGACAGCCTTAATTTCGAACGGGACTATTACTCCTCCATGACAGCTTACGGCCAAAGTAAACTCTGCAATATCCTTTTCACAATTGAGCTCACGAGCAAGCTTCAGGGTACAGGTAAAACGCTATGTATGTAGTTATGAAACTGTGGAAGAAGGTTGTGGGTACAGGTACGAGTCCGATGGGTGCAGGCACGAATCTGTTGAAGCAGGTATTAGGGTGCAGGTACAAAGGTGTGAATGCTGTACGAAACTGTGAGTGTAGTTAAAAGTCTGTGGGTACAGATTGGAGACTGGGTACATGTAAAAGACTCTGGGTACAGGTAGAATGTTACGATACGGTAGGAGGCTGCGGTCGAGATGAATGTTTTGGGAAGACAGGATGGACGTGGTTGCCTTTGTCTGGGATGTTGTTAACTAGGATATGCATCTCCGTGGAATGTGAAAGAAGTAAAGTATGAGTAGGAATTTATTTTTCACCCGCTTCTGAAGAACCAGCTGTGTTAACCTGTTTCAGCAAGTGTGAGCATCGTACCATCTTTCACAGGTGGCAGCTCATCACACCTCTCAGTGTGAGTAATACGGTTCCTTATATCTGTTTTACGTTGAAAATGATTTATGAATTAACTTTTCTTCCCACACTACAGTTTTCATCTCATCATTTACTCAGTCATTCTTATTCTTTACTTCACTTCTGTTCACGAAGCTTTGCTACATACACTCCTAACACCGAATGCTGTACACACTCCATGCTGTACACACCACACATCTTTGTCCTCATCACTCACTCAGTTTATCCTTTTTTCTATTTATTTAGAGTATTTACTTTCACTTCCTTTTTCTACCCACTAATACCATACTTCTTTTACTCTTACTCTAGTTACCCTAAATGAGGATAAAACATATTAGTCACTCTTAAAAGCATGTCTCTCCAAAAGTCTAGACTTCAATCTTTTACCAACTAACACTATTCCAGCAGACTGCTCTCATTCCATACTGTGCCATCTCTGTATGCTTGAGTCACACATTAGTGTCCTATCCTTATATGTTTCTATATACTTGAGTCACACCTATGTGTCTTTCCCTTCAGGTGTGACGGCCAACAGTGTTCACCCTGGCTGTGTATCCACGGAAATATTCTACAAGGGTCAGGTGACCTTCTTCGCGTGGCTCTGCGGGAAACTTTTCTATCTGATGGGAAAGGTGAGAGGGAGAGTCAGTCAAGGCAGTTGTTAGGTTCTATTAAGGTACGTTACGATTACGATAACGAGATAGTCTAGAAAATCAGAAAACTTTTGAATTTGAACCTTTACAACTTATGCTGTGAGAATGGTACATATATTGGCCCTGATCGCTGTGTGTGTGTGTGTGTGTGTGTGTGTGTGTGTGTGTGTGTGTGTGTGTGTGTTTTATTCTTGCACTCTCTCAAGCTCTCTCTGGTGCAGGATGCCAAGTTGGGGGCTGAACCTGTGATATACCTGGCGGTGTCTGAGGAGGTGGAAGGGGTCAGCGGCAGCTACTTTGTCGACTGCAAGGTAACTTCTCTTTCACACACTCGTTCTTCAGAGTCCTCTAGACTCGGGCACTGTATCACTGACCAACTGTTTCGTTTTTTATTCCTAAATTCTTAACGGCTACCTGCAGTATTACCCTCTATCGCTGTACAGGTGTATCAATCCTGCTGTATCAGTCCTGTGGACCATTGACCATATAACTGCGTCGAGGTATCACTGCACCTGAGTGTACCACCTATGTATGTCTTTCAGGACACGGCGACGACGGAGCTGGCACGACAGAGGAAGCTGGCCAAGCAGCTGTGGAGGCTAGTGAGGTAGATGTTAAACTGCAGCCGGATGAGAGATACTACTAGAGCACAGCTTTACAAGCTTCCACAGTGAGGAAACTGGAGAGAGGAGATGCTGTTTGATGAGTGACTCTAGTGAGGAAGATGGCTACTGTGAAGTACTACTGTAAAGAGTAAGTCACTATACTGTGGCTGAAACAGTTAGCAATTATCCCACAAATTTTGGATAAAAACACTAAACTTGCCACATAATAGAGAAGGATGCACTGAAACCTCTAGTTTTCATCTGCAGTTTATGGGTTAGTTGTAAACAATGTCAAATAGGCAAAACGTGAGGAAAGTCTATGGTAGACGGATGAGGTTTCTCCAGTGAGAAATACATGCACATGAACCGTAGACTCCTGTAAAAATAGTTAACCCAAAACTGAGAATTTCCCTGACCGAAAAATGGGAGAAATTAGAATAAAGTTTGAGGATAAACCTTACAACTGAGAAATATCGGAGAAGGATCAGTTCTCGTGGTAAATATTTTACAAAGATAAGGCTGAAATCCTCCTCGGCTGATTCGTGTTAAAGAAATGTATTTCCACAAATGTTGTTTTGAGACCAGTGTGGGAAATAAATACATGAACGTTAGAAAAGGGGTCATTAAGTGGTTGAGCATTAATAAAAAGTTTGGAACTTGTCTAGGTGGGAAATTCAAAACAAACTATAAATTAATGAGAAATGATGAAGGGAATCGGGAATTTATCACTGGATGAAAATTCAGAATGAGAGAAAAAAATTCTAAGATTAAAAAAAATATATATATTTCAGTTCCTTCCAAGGTGAGGAAAGGTGAAGGAGAAACAAAGAACTTACGGAAAATGCTAGTTAGTCAAAGACAAAATAAATTGAAACAAACACCATGGAACCAATTGCCAATTACAACCGCTGACAAAGATGTTTCTGATATGTGGAATTACCGCATATACCGGGGGGG